CTTGGAATCTGAAAGAACTGACTCAAATCATGGGGAGAAAATATACTTCTTTTTTACTGATCTTTCACTTGAGACATCCTCTATTTTGGAATGACAAAGTTAGATATTTAGTTTGGAATGAATGAGAAAGTCTTCTTTTATAGTGCTCCAAAGACAAATTCATTTACCCCGTGACGAGGGGTGTCCATTATTCATATAAAAGCCAAAATCTACTCCAATTTAAATCAAATTATTAATTTGGATTGGATCCAAACTTTAAACCAGATTGGATCGGATTGAAATTTTTTGAAAATTCAAATTTTCGGATCGGATCAAATTGACCTTGTTTAGATTCAAAAAAACTGAATTAACCAAAATATGAAATCATGATTTAACAAATAACGATTATTTATATTAATCATGTAAAATTATGTTAATAAATACATTAATATTAATTATGTAAAACTATGTTTTTAATATTTGTATTAATCATGTACAACTATGTTTAAAACTATGTTTTCAATACTTGTATTAATTATGTACAACTATGTTTTCAAGACTAAAATTTTTATAATTGCATTTTTTTTTATAATCACTTTAGGCCCAAAAAATTTACAACGTATTTTAATTCAAAATTTTGGATTGGGTCCAAAGAATTGAATTTTAGATCGGGTCCAAATAACTGAATTTTAATTCTTATTGGATCGGATTGGATTGATGAGAAATTCGGATCGAATTGGATTTGAAAATTTAAAATCGAATTTTTTTTTGAATCGGATTGGATTTAGCCTAAATCCAAGCCGAAAACTGAATAGACAACCCTACGCCCGTGATTTCCATGAAAAATAGTAGTGCTTTCTAAACTCTAGGCATAATCTCTACTAGCTCCATGAACATAAGAAGTAATGGAAGACATGGATTAAAGTCAAAAACATTTTCTCCATGATCTCCTAGTTTTTCTCCCCTAAAAAAGTTATTTCAAATCACACGTGTAAAGCTAATTTTTATTTTCTAAAAACTAAACAATAAAAAACATATAATAAAATAATATTAATCTGAACCAAATCAGTTTTTTATTAATTAAAAACTAATTTGATGTTAAATATGAAAGAGAAATAAAGAGAGATAGGAGAGAAATTGGGGAGAGAATAAATTAGAAGTCTCTTATTCCATAGAGTGGGGTATATATATACATACAATATAACAAGGGTTTGCTTAGATAACAATAAACCCTAGATTTAGAATATTTCGGAATGATAAAAGGAGGATAATGGATATCCACACAATATTTCATAACACTCCCCCTTGGATGTCCATTATCGAAGAGTGTGCCTCGTTAAAACCTTATTAGGAAAAACCCTGTGGGATAAATACCTAATGAAGGAAAAAGAGTACAACATTCTTCGTAATACGCTCGAGATGCCGCCTCATTAAAAACCTTACCAGGAAAACCCAATGTGGGGACAAAACCATGGTCAAGGGAAAAAGAGTGCAACGCGTATTTTCTCCCCCTGATGAATACATAACTTGAGATCTTCTAGTGCCACAACAATATATGAATCCAATATAGTTGGATATCTTCTAATATGTAGTAAAATATCATTCGTTGGTCTTCGATCCTCCTAAACTGAAATTGCATCTTCAAGTCTTCAAGTGAACATGTGAAGTGTCTTCATTTCACCATACATATATTTATCCCTACATCATTCCAAAAACCTCTGTTTGAATAAAGTTACTTAAAAGTTAAACTTATGCGGTTAGGCCTTCTTCTGGAGGTCGTGAATAATAGAAATCGATGATCATTATATGATCAAACATTCATTAATAATAATTTGATGACAAAACTTGATATTATTAATGTCGTTCTTCAATCTTATCTGAATTATAATATAACACATGTAATTTGATACGTTAATTATGGTTCTTCTGGACCATAAGAAAACATTCTCACGCATAAGTATTCCATTGATATTCTTTAGATGTTTCATAATTGACGTGATAGCGCTTTTGCAAATACAAAAGCAAATCTCACTAACTTTCACATGCTCAAACTTTAGGTTGAGATGTCAATGATGTAGTCACACAGACTTTTCAAGAGTTTGATAATAATTGCAATATTCAAGATATAAAATTTGTAGGGCTATAAATACGTTGCATATAAGTTCTTCGGGAACTTTTCTTACATGATTCATAAATAATATTAGATCAACGTCATATAATTTCATCATAATTATAAGCCCGTTGGAATATAAATATGTCTTTCTAATTTTTCATCAAAGTTGTAAATATGCCTTACTGTACCTTGAATGAACATGCACATACACCACAAATATTGTATAGAAACTAATGCATGCAATATGAGATATAGAAAACATGATAACATATTAAACAAAATATACAATAAGTAATGCATCTAACAACTACTGACATATGCAATGAACAATCCGTTAACCTATGACTCATACATGCATATAAACATACATAGGACTCAAAATAATGCAAGACACTGTACATTGTGGATTTAAAAATCCATATTTCATTGGACTTCTGGTCCATGATAAACTTTTGATCATTATCATTATGTCAACATCAAAATGGACATATATATTTCAGATCCCTTATTCACTAGTCAATTATATTATGCATATGCATATTATTTATCGGTTCCCTTGTGTACCGGTATCATAATATTCCTTTAACTTACATTTCGCATGCTATTTTACTATGATATCTGAATACATTTCTTATTGGTACCATCATAACTTCCTTACATCATAGGTCATCTATTGTAATAATTCAGATATCTATACCACTTTTAGGGTCTTTCATACACTATGGTATTTATATACTATTACGCAATTAATATTAACTGCACTATCTTGCCATATATCATATCCATTAGAGATATCTTTATATTGGAACCGATCATACAACCTACACTTCAGGTGTAGTGATTCAAGTATAATTGGCAAGATTTTATCTCAATGTATACACATAATATGACCAAAAAGTATCTTCAACGCTATGCAACATGAATCATAACTAAATACAAATCAAATCATAAATGTGCAACATATCTTGATAATATATAGACAAAAGTTGTCATATAACTTTTTAAACTACCTTTATAGGGATCATCAATTATATTTTCCGATTTTCCAACTTTTGCTAATTCTTCTCCCCCTAAGTTGGTAAAATATCTCATTTATAGGGGCGTCTAATTCTATACCAACTTAGTATATAAATTAAAATTCTTTTCATCGGGAGAACCACAATCAAAATAATTATCTCAGAATAGTTGTATTAAACAAGTTTTATCTCTTCTAGAGAACAATTTCAATGGAGAATCATTTCTTCATTAACTTTACACTGCATGTGTATTTATTGTTACACTTTCCATAATATGTTCTCTTCTGGAGATCAATGTCAATGGGGAGACATGTGTTGTGCAGTTGTACGTTTTTCTTTCTTTTCCAATTTCTTATGTGCTGACATATAATAGCCCCAATCAAAAGAATTATTATACAAATATAAACTTGATTGTAATTCTACTAGGTGATGATCTTCTAGATCACTAGAAACCTTGATAGTATGATACCAATTAAATATTCAGAATTTCCTCATACAACTTGTATTTGGTGAGCTTCTGGTCACCTACATGTGACAACATATAAGTTATTCTGGTGAACTTCTAGTCACCTATTACTCTTTCGTATGAAAAATTTATTCAAAACGAATATATTATCTCTTGAAATTTTCTTCAACACAAATCATTAAAATCACAATCCAAATACAGTTCAATCTCAATGTTATGTCTTGACATTCAATTCATTTCATATATCTAACATTGACAGAGTGTCAGCACATTATCAAATGAAACTTCAAGTTTCCATAATGGGTAATTATTAAACCCGGATGGCCTAATTTAATTATCACATCCAGTCACTTCTATAAATTTGAACTCTGGTCAGTATTCCAACACTAGTGATCACTTTGTTAAAATTACTTTATGCATGGCCATGAATATGATGTGATATTAGAACACCAAAATGTGTTTCTTTATATAATTGGCAAGATAATCAACTAATACTTGATCCAAGATGTTATATATACTCTGCTGAGCTTTGACTATAATCTTGATACATGCTAAGCTTGTTGGATAATTATATACTCTTCTAGAGTACTCTATATAATCATGGTACATATCCATTTTACTAAATATAATCTCTTGTAAAGATCTATCAAAATGTATTACTTCCTCAAATTTGTTATTATCTATAATTGCTCTTTTCTTGATTCAAGATTCTTATATTTTGTTTTGGAACCTATTGAAATACTACGCTTCAGGCGTGGTTTAGGTTCATTAGAAATTGATGTTTGTTGTCCTTCTGGGACATTAGTTTTAATTGGAGCATTTACATTTGGTATATAGATAAATAATGACATCTATTCATATTCATCTTCAGGATGATATCATTTTGAAATATATTAATTAACATGTGGCCACTTTTATTAAATAAAACATTAATATTTAAGTTAATGTATGTACCAAACTGACCATCAATATATTTTATTATTTATGTGCAAGGATTACATAATATAATGATATAAATACTATCTCCCCCTAATCCTTGCATGTGGGGGCATTAAATTAATCTAACTACCTTTAAATCTCTTGCACCTTTTAAGCTATAAATTCTTTTATCAATGCATGTATCAAGCAAAGTAAAATGATTCTTATAAGACTCATATTCGTTCCTCTTGCCCAATTATATGAACCTTTATACTAAAAATTCTCAAATTACTATTGTAATAGAATTAAAGGAACTAAAATAATATTCACTAAACCAAATAACTTAAATTAATAAATGACTGATAATAATAATAATGAAATATCCAAAAACATAAAAAATATCCAAAACAAATGTCCCATAAAGCATAAAATCATAGTACTACGATAAAATTCTATAATAAATGCAAGCTAATTAATAAAGTTTATTCGCCAATGGATCATAATTTATTCAATTATTTTCTTCAGAATTAGGAAAGAAATCAGCTGCTTCCAGGTGAGTTTGATCATCGTAATCAAAATCACTTTCGCCATCCTCGTACACCAAATTTGTTTCCACTTTCTTTCCTTTCTGTTTGATTGATTGTTGATAAAGGTCTACTAGATGTTTTGGTGTACGACACACACGAGACCAATGGACTTTTCCTCCACAACGGTAGCATATATTTTCATATTTATCCTTCTCATTCTTATTTCCATCTTTATTGTCCCACTTCTGGTGAGAGTATGAGTTTCTAAAATGACCACCTCGACCACGATCATGTCCACGTCCGCAGCCGCGACCACGACCTCGACCACGACTGCTGGCGTGATCTCTAGCCTTTTTCTCTTTCCCACTATGGGATGTCGCCTTCGCTTCAGGGAATGGAGTAGAGCCAGTTGGGCGTGATTCATGATTTTTCATTAATAGTTCATTATTTTGCTCAGCCACAAGGAGACAAGATATCAATTCAGAATATTTTGTAAAACCCTTTTCACGGTATTGTGTCTGCAGGACAACATTGTTTGCATGAAAAGTGGAGTATGTTTTTTCTAACATTTCTGCATCCGTGATTTTCTCTCCACATAATTTCAATTGTGATGTAATTCTAAACATGGATGAGTTGTATTCACTCACAGACTTAAAGTCTTGTAATCTTAAATGTAACCAGTCATAACGAGCCTTTGATAATATCACAGTTTACTGGTGGTCATATCTTTCCTTTAGATTACTCCAATGGACTTGTGGGTCTTTAATAGTCAAGCACTCAGTCTTAAGGCCTTCATGAAGGTGATGGCGAAGGAATATCATAGTCTTAGCCTTATCTTGGCTTGTTGCAGTGTTGTTTTCTTTAATAGTATCACCAAGTCCCTTTGCATCTAAATGTATTTCAGCATCTAACACCCAAGACAGATAGTTGTTTTCAGTAATATCAAGAGCAACAAATTCGAGTTTTGCAAGGTTTGACATGATTCATTAATATATAAAACAATATAATAAATTAGGAACAAGATGGTATATTAAATATATATACTCCAAGTTTCAATTAAGACAACTAATTTCAAGTAAGTAATTATAATAAGATTTGCGTATTGAACCTTGAGAAGGTTACTATTCATGAGACCACAATTAAGTCCATTAATCAATTATCTTAACAAAACATGAAACCTCAATTGATAAATTTATATGTAACACTTGACATTAATACTTTGCCTAACTTTAGCTACTGTTAAAGTCTTGACTCAAAATAAACCAATCCGACTAGTTCGTTGATTCATTATTAATAAACCAAACCCATAAATTAATGTGTAATTGATACAACTATACAAATCTTTTATCAAACAACAAGGCAATGAATGGAGTGTAAATTAAAAGATATAATTTTTAATATAATTGGGTTAGCAGGGTAAAGAATTGATACATAATTTAATATAATATTATTTATTTATTTATTTATTTTCAATCACAAAAAGATAATTATGATTTAATTGATAAAAGGTATGCAATCAAACAACCGAAACATATATGCTAAGCGCCTTTATCTAAGGATTACAGCTAGCAATCAGTAGCATGTGTGCAGCCTAACTATAAAGAGATAAATCTTAGCGTACATAACAATAATCCACATGCAAGTACGGTGGATATCAAATACATACATGATGACACCCAGTATATGATCATGAATATATAATATGATTATGGAATTGTAAAGTAAATAAAGAGACAAAATAGCCCTGAATGATCAAAAGTAAATCCTATGAGGCTACGACACAAACATATATAAGGTCAATAATTATGTCATTAATTTGACCAATCACAAAAGTAAGCGACATGATCCAAAATCATAGATTTAAGCAATTCAATTAACCAAATAAATAATATACATATGAAACAAATACGAGTTAGATAATTGTTTTGGGGTTTTCTGATGTCCTGCGGGAGAGTTACAATTTCGAGACTGGAACCGGACGCCTGTACCTGCACAACAAACGGATGCTCCGGATGATTGGAGATCCGCCTCCAACGGTCAAGTTAGTACTTGATTAAGGAGTAATTAATGCGGAAATTAAAGTGATTGGGTCTCTCTAGGTGAGAGTGTTTAATGTGTGTAATCTGCTTTTTAGCGTGTTATCCCCCTTAATGAGGATTAAGGGAGGTATTTATAACCTCGGGAAACGTGTCAATCTAGGTTTAGGTTAACCTTGGGCTGATTGGGCTTCCCTCGGAAGTTGGGCCTAGGTGACCGGTTATCCCAGGTGTCATGGGAAGGACACGTGTCGTGTCGTAATTGGTCCATAGTGGACAGATCATTGCTTGACACGTGGCAGACTCCTATTGGCCCATGTGACGGACACATGGCGGAACCTGATTGGTCCACTTGTCAGATGGTGACTGGTGGGGAAAAATCCCCTAATCATTTGCCCATCACAGGTGGCACGTGACTGGTCACGTGTTACCTGTGACAGGTATCGCCCTGTAACAGGCGATGACCTGCTACAGGTGTCACTCGGCGAGAGGCCGAGAGATTCTCCCGCCAAAATTTTGAATTCTGGAAGTGACCCTTCGCCTTCTCACTTTGCCTATATAAAGGAGTGTTGACTTCGGTCATTTTCACACTTGAAAACTTTGTGAGAGAACATTCGGACCCCTGAACTTGCTCTGCCATTTTGGACCCTCTCTGCCTACCGCCTGCTCTGACAAGCCGACTGCAAAGGATTTTCAGAACTTCATCAATCGTCACTCGTTCAGGTAACCGTCGGTTCTCTTACTCTTAATTTTCTCTTTACTTTATTCTTTTTTGAAATGGCACCACGGAAGCACACGACACGACCTAGGTTAGTGATCAGCCGGTCACCGGGGACGGCTGAATCTAGGACTAGGAGTGCCGCCTGCCCTAATCTGGACCCATCTTTGCCCTTTATACAAAGTCTGGCTGTATCTGTGTCTATGCAGAGCATGATGGCCAGGACAAAAAAGACTGCCAGGATCTCAAACTTAGACGGCTCCTCCCACAGGGTGCCGATTAGTGAAACATCTGACCAGGCGCCAGATGTGGAAGTGAAACAAAGCGGCTTGAAAGCCGGCAGTTCTGAGGGAGGAGTCAAAGTGACCCCTTCCCATTTTACAGTTGACAATTCTACATTCTCTCCTGCTCCTTTTAAAGGAGAGGAGGCGGGCCCTTCCGGGAGAGGGGAGGAGTCGTCCTCTTCGGACTCGTCAGAGGACGATTCCGAGTCTAGCTCTTCTGGCCATGCTTCCCTGGACACAGAAGAGAAAAACAGTCGCCTACAAGAGGCGAGGCTTTCTCACGCAGTTGAGAAGGGGGACGATTGGGCGGAGCCATCCGCCTCTCACCGAGAGCAAAATACCCCCTACTACTGCACGGTACCTCGGGGCCGGATCACAGCCATGCAAGAGAAAGTGGAGAGCTTTATCGCAAACCACACAATGGGCCCCGGCTTTTTAGTGTTCGTGCCTGATCCAGAAGACACAGTCGTATGGCCGGCTGGTACCAGTTATGATGGCGCCTGCTTTGGCTGCTACGAGGCGGCCATCAAGGCTGGGCTGCGCTTCCCACTACATCCAGCTGTTCAGCGGATCTTGGATGGGTATGAGTTGGGGTTATGGCAGTTAGCCCCGAACTCCTGGGTCAACGTACTCGACTATGTGGCCGGGTGCGAACTGCACGGGGTGGAGCCGAGCTTCGAGGCTTTCGCCCACATGAACTACCTCAGCCGAACCCCTAAGGCAGGCGGTACCGGTTGGTATCAATTGACGAGCCACAGGGGCTACCTCATGACGAGAGGTAAAGCAAACAAATGGAAGGACTGCCGGAGCACCTTCCTCATCATTGAGAGTTCAGACACAGAGCTGAACAAGCGCTTCAACAGGTGGAACAGGAATCCGCCTCTTCTTGCAGGCGGCCGCAGCATGCCGCCTGTTCCCCCCAAGGCTAAGAAAGAGATCCTAGATAAAGGACTCTTCAAAGTAGAGTCGAAGGTGAACTCTACTTCAGGGGTACGAGAGCAAGTACCCCTGCACTGCGTCCCGAGCTTCAAATGGCTCTACGACGAGTACTTTTTGGCCGCCTGTGGCCTCAGCAGTCGGTGCTCAAGAGGTAGCCGGCCTGTCGAATACTCTGTTGTTCCATTCATTTCTTGTTATGACTTTTATTAACTTTGCTATTTGTTTTTAGAGCGGACGCCATGAGCAAAATTACCGCCTCCAAGACTGCGGCGGCCATGTTGCGGGCCTCCATCATGCAACAGTCTTCAACCGACTCCCCCAACAAGGGGGAACCCTTGGTGGGCTTCGAACCTTTCACCCTCTTTTTGGAGTTGTGTTTATGCATATACTGACTTCTCTTCTTTTTTAGACGAGCGCTCCAAGAGCTTCTTCTTCCCAATAGCCGGACCCCAAGGCCCGGAGGACGACTGTTGCGAGCTCTCCTGGTTCTGCCAGGAAACATGTGGCGGCTGAGAAACAGCCGGCCACTTCTTCTAAAACTCCAGCTGGGCCACCTAGAAGTATGAAATTATCCTTGTAAATTTTAGACTTGCTCCCTTCTTTACTAGGTCTAATCCGTTTGTTTATGCTTGATGCAGCCGGCCCTCAGGAGCCTGACTTGGTCGAGGTGGCCAAGTCTATGATCAAGGCCGTTCCTCCAGCTGAAAGGGAGGCGGTCAGGGGTGTCGGCACCCTTGACCTAGACGGGATTGCAGGGGTCCTTGCTGAGGTATACTTAGCATATTTTTGAGTATTTGAATTCCAGGACGCATGTTTTCTTTTTTGTTTGGAAACTGACGCCTGTTCCCCTTTTTACTTAGGCCCTACTCCGAGTGAACAGCCTTCGCAAGCCGCTTGACCGGAAGAACAAAGAGGTAAAAGCTGCAAAAGCTATGGCCGCCTCTGACTGTGATAAGGCAATGTTTCAAATTGCCCATAATGAAGTTCTGACCATTGATATTCTTTATTATCAGGCGCAGGCTACCGCCGCTATCCGGGCTCAGTTAGAGGCGGCCCAGAAGAGGAATAGCGAGCTGGAGGCGACCATCAACAACCTCAAGGCCGAGCTGAGACCTCTTCGCCAAAAGATGTCCTCATACGAAACCTTGGAGAAATCCTTGGCAAGCGTAAAGGTACGCCTGGTGACCCAGGAGAAGAGTCTTACTCAGGAGCTCTCGGAAAAGGCCGAGAAAGAAAAGAAAGAGCTGGTCCGGGAGATGATAAAAGACTCTGCTCAAATCCAGCGCATGACTTGGGGCCGCCTCTTCCCCAATGCCGACTTTGCCTCATGGGAAAAAATGTACCGCCAGTGTTCTGATAGATATAATCAGGAGATCCTGGCGGCTGCTGAGGAAGAGGCGTTGGAGGAGGAGGAGCAGTCGGTAGTGGCGCTTGTGCCGCTTGGGGGTAATGCATCAAAGAAGGATGCAGCTGAAGCCGAGTCCAGCAAGAAGAGTGCTGACCAGGCGGCAGCTGCTGATATTGAAGATCTGCCCCCTTCTTAAGCTTTATGTCTTCTTTCCACGGCTTGCGTGCCGTTTGTTTGTATTTACCCGGCCAGGGGGCCGGGGCTCTGAATATTTTGCCGGTCTTTAATGACCGGCTTCTTTTTAATGAATATTTTTGTTTTGCTTCAAATTTGTTTAAGTATTGAATATTCTGAGATCCAATTGTACACTATACCGACTGTTTTACATGGCCGATAGTTGCAGACAGGTACGGATAGTTAGTCACGCCGCCTATGCCCCTGGACGACTGGTTGTCTGTTTCCAGGCTAGACGATCAGTCGGCCATTTATCCAATCGGTATTCGAACCATTTTAAAGATTGGATCCCCTTTAGGCAGGCGGACTTGTCATTTGTAAAATTAACCAAGTAGGAAAGTGGTCTGACCAAGTAAACATGATTGTTACCTAGTCGCCAAGTAACTGAGTAATAGAGGTATCAAGCGGTTGGTACCGGTTG